AGTACCAATTAGCGCTCGACCACCACAACTGTTATTGGAACATCACTGGAACTGAGAACATCTGCCGTGTTACAATTACACACATACACATAATAGGCGTCACATGCATCACTTCTCAATTACCGCTTCAAAATATCACTTACCAAATAATTTAGGTCATCTGAGGCGAGATGAGAAAATACAAGAAAATCGTAAAAACAAACAGTAAAACCAAGTATGATAAGAATTGAAAAAAAAAACCTGCATACACAAAAGTTCAAAAGCGATAAATTTTTAATTTAAGCTATTAAAGGTTGAAGAGAAAATAATGAAGTAGAAAAGATGAAGAAGGGATGAAAACGAAGAAAATGCGAAGTAAGATGAGGAAAGGGGACTAAGGAAATATTTGTAATAGGTAAGAAATATTTCGGTCCATTAAGTCGTATACATTTCTTACCGTTACCACAGTTTCTTCCCATATACATTTCTTACCGTTATCTCTTTAGTTTCAGTTCAGCTAATATAATTCGTCCAAAAAGCAGTAAAATAAAACATCATAAAACTCTCTAACAATTCAAAAACGGTGCGTTTTTTCTTTTTTTTTTTAACTATCCCTGCAGCTTTCACTGTCACACTGTTCCTTTTCCTTTAATTTTTCAATAAACGAACGAATGACTGCTTTCATAATGCATCTCCCAAAACACCCATTATCTAAACCGAACGATTCTCTCTCCCTCTTCCTCGTTTCCTTCCCCAGCTCGGTATGCTATGCCCGGGCATAGCAGTTAATCAGAGCAGCAGAAACGGGTAATTCTTTTGGTTATTTTTTTCTAAAAGGAATTAAAATGAAGGTCACCACAAAACTAGAAACAAAAAAACCTAGTAAAAGAGTAGTCCGAAAATCCATTGCTTAACTACTGTTGCCGCAATCAAAAAAAAAAGAAAAAACTCGTCGACTTGCGATGAGGTACTTGCCCTGATGACTTTTCTCCCTACTCTGATCGCCCAGCAGTAAGGTGGTTCCAAGAAGAACAGGTTATCAACAGTGTTCCACGTTTAGCACCTCTTCTGACCTCCCTCATTCCTTCTTCTTTCAAGTGAAATGATGAATTTTCGAACTGTGTTTTAAAAAAAAATTTACTGCAACCTACTCCGAGTAGTTCTGTTTACCAGACACAATAACAGAGAAAATGGCTTTGATCTTAAATATATTTGTGATGCTGTTACTTATAATTGGAATGTGCCAAAACAGGTACCAACGTTCCTCAGAAAAATTGCCAAAACATCCCTTG